CATTGAGTATTTACATCTTTGAAACTAACATTAAATTTGTGATAGTATCAGGATTAGATTAAACTTCATATGCATAAAGCAGTTAATGAAGTCATGGACCTTATCTGATGGGTTTATTCTGCAAAAAGATCTTCAAAGTGAGCTGTAGCCTATCAATTATTAAGGGGGCAAGAATAGTGAACGACTATGAAATATCTTATCTGGATGATACTACTAAAGATGTGTTGCAATAAAAGTTTCTATCATGTCTTCAGATTTCACGCTACAAAATGCTTGAATCGAGAGGCAACACAGTTTCAATTTGTAGTTTCTTGGGTCAACTTTAGTACAATGATGATACTAGGATGCCTTGCAACATGTAGAATACCGCCTTCCTAGATCAACTTTACTACATTGTTGAATATCAGGTTGCTTTGGAAACATGTGTGGTTCATTGATTGGCCTTGCCAAATTCATTTTTAATACATTTGACTATGAAATTACTCAGTTTCGTGGAATCAGAGTTTTATTGAAATGGTATTTCAAAGTATTTTCGTTTATGCAGCCTGCTGAAGGATGGAAGGAGCATAACTGTATACCTGATGAGCATTACGTTCAGACGCTTTTTGCAGTAAGTTTCTCTTATACTCTTATGTTATATTGTATTAGTGATTGTGTTACTTTTGATTCCTGGTATCTGAATGAGTTCACATGGGGATTTAATTAGTATTTGTGATTGTGTTACTTTTTGCAGTAAGTTTCTCTTATACTCTTATGTTATATTGTATTTGTGATTGTGTTACTTTTGATTCCTGGTATCTGAATGAGTTCACATGGGGATTTAATTAGTATTCCAAAACAAACATCTCCAGTTTGTATGGTAAGCTTCTGTGTTTCTAATGATTGATGGAGAACTATGATCCTGAAATGACTAAGATCACATACTTTATTTTGAGATTCAATCATTATATTGGCAATTGGACAATTAGACTGTTTTCTTCCGCATGAAGAAATATACTGTTCTTCACATGTAATGATAAGTTTTGAGTCTATGGGAAGTCCAGTGTGAGTTTCAATCAAGGAAGGGTGTGAGTTGCAATCAAAGAAGAGAGTCGGGTCAATGAATTCTATGGACCGAGTCTCTTCCAGTGAGAGAACATGGCCAATTCTATGGACCACGTCTCTTCCAATGAGAGAACATGGCCTTCTTTGTCTGATTACATTGTCAAATAACAACTTTTTTCACTTCACCAAAAGCACTGTCAATGTTGAAGATTTTGAAGGTCAAATTTAAGTGCAAAAGTAATCAGATGGGAATTCCTTCTGTCTCTGTCTCTGTCTCTTGAGTTCTTGTTTTGTTACCTAATTGTATGTAAAGTTTGTTTATATTTCTTTGGTAGCATTCTCACATGTTTCTTTCTTTTTTTGGTTTCTTAAAACAGCAAAAGGGACTGGAAGGGGAAATTACTAGAAGAAGCTTGACGCATACTGCATGGGATCTTTCATCCTCCAGGGATCGTGAAAGACGTGGCTGGCATCCTATGACGTACAAGCTCTCTGACGCTACTCCGAAGCTTTTAAAAGCTATAAAGGTTTAATTTTTCACCAATTAGGATGTTGCCAAATGTCAATTTTATCCTTCAGCGATCATATGAACTATTGATCATGTAAATCTAATTTTTTTTTTCTTTTGGCGATTATGAGCAGGATATAGATAATATCAATTATGAGACAGAATACAGGAAAGAATGGTGCACCAGCAAGGGGAAGCCATCCAAGTGCTTTCTCTTTGCCCGAAAGTTCACACGTGCTGCTGCCCTCAATCTTCTTAACACTGTAAGTAGATGTACCTTATTTCTTTATAATTCATATCTGTAAGTTTTGCTCAACTTTTACATAATTCACACCTGTTAAATATGTTCTTTTTCTTCTACGCTAATCAGTGTTTTTTTCTCTCTATGCTGTTATTTGTTAATATAGCTTATTTCTTGTGGCAGTCTGCACTTGTTCTGAGATGACATACAGTACATACATCTGGTGGTTTTAGCCCAAGGATGAATCCGTAAACGAGATGAATATACGATAACATAACTTTTATTCTATCTGTATATTATGAGTCACTTGTAAGCAAATACTATGGACATAAATATATTCTGCAGTTAGATTTTGGTTCCTTTATGCTCTTTCATCTGTATCAACTTTGTGTACGCGATTCTATTTAGAAATCAAACTCCTTATACTATGATATGTATTGGTCTCTAATCGTACCCGTCACCGAATGGAAGGATAAGATTCATGTAGCTGATTCAAAAGTTTAAATTTTGGGATAAAGGCTTTTGTTGCTGGGATAAATGTTCTGTGGCTACTGTAATTGAAGACGGTAAATTAGCATTGCATCATAACGCTGTATAACTTAAATTATATGACATAATCTAGTATTGATCCATTACATTATAGACAAAATTACTGACACGACTCTGATAATCACCAAGTCCTATTCTCCTGTTCTTTCATATTTTTATTATTACTTTGTATTTTATTTATTAACTATTATTGGTCACATTCCAAGACGACTCTCTTTTAATTCTTAGCCCCATGCCTCACCAAAATTTGTCAGCTGTATCTAGTTGCCACGGTGCAAGCAAAATTTAACAGAGTGGAATCTGAAGATGAGGAGAAACTGATAGTTTATCCGTTTATTCAATGCTCCTCTTTTGAACAGTGTAGAGGGAGCCGGTGCTTCTCTTTTATGTTTTCTGTTAAAATCTGAGTGGTTATGGGAGAGAAGCGTGGAGGAGATTATTCTATTCACGTGCTGGATTCTATCATTAAGAGTTCAAAGTGAATACATACAGTAATGCATTCCAATTCGTACAAACGTGAAAACTCCCAGACGAAGTGAAGCCAGATTAACTGTAGTCGTCTTCTTTATGCTGCTTTTGTTTACATAATGAGCCGACATAAAGATCATTTCCCTCCATTATGTGGAGGGATATTAGTTCAGGGGATCTAGTAAGCTGGCAGTTGTCTGAAATCATGTAAAAATATGCGGTTTTCTCCAAAATCCTTACACCGTAAGGAGATTTAACTTCGTAATTATCTTTTTAGTTAAAACCATAAAACATTTATCTGTGTAATCTAATAGAACTGTGAATTATCAAGCAGAAAATATAAATATTTTCTGCAGATATCTTTATAGTGCAAAGAAATTTAATTTTTACAATTTAGACTTGTAATCCCAGCAATAAAAGGCGTAACATGAGTTTTTGAAGCCCCCATACAACAACGCTAATTATAGCTAATGCTAGAGGGACAAGCAATACTGGCAACCTTACAAAATCAAACTGCTTCTCATCTTCCATGGAGGAGAAGAAAAAGAGTGGCAAAACAAAGCAAGTGTAGTGGATGTCACCCAAAAATACTGTAAAAAAGAGAAGGAAGGGGGGAAAAAACTTGAAAAGTTTTTTGGACCTCTGCAAGCTATACTAAAAAAAAGCTAATTATTTTGTTAATTAAGAAACACAATCCCCTTCATTTACTCCCTCATAGATAGCATCAAGGCTAGGCCCCCAGACAACTAACAACTCTTCAGTTTTTTTTATCGGACCTCTGTATCAGACTTCTATAGCCTTGGAAAATGTGAGGGTTGTTGTGGGTTTAATTATATGAAATTGGAGTTAGCTGTGATTATGGTTTTTAATACGCAACACGTAACCAGAAGGCAACCACAACAACGTTACGCAGATAAAGACGGTGGAGGTAACTGCAAAATAGAGATCACTACACCAGAATTCTTCAGAAAATGGCTTCTTCTACCCAAAAAAACACTGATTCAATCATTGGTTTCTTTGTTGGTTTCCTTCTTGCCACCTCCTTTGCTCATTGCTCACTGGCTTTAGAGACCGAAAACTCCACTGAATTTAGACCTGCAAAGGAGCTTCTCATGCTTCGGAGGACGAGAGCTCTCCTCAAGAAAATCAATAAGCCTTCTCTTAAGACAATTCAGGTAACGAAACTTTATACAAGTGAGAGTTCAAGGCATAAATTCAACACGTCTCCTGATCTTTTTTTTTTCCCCTTTGTTATTTCTGTGTCCCAAACAGAGTCCAGATGGTGATATTATAGATTGTGTTCCATCTCACCTTCAACCAGCATTTGATCATCCTAAACTAAGAGGAAAAAAGCCATTGGTAAGTGACCTTCAATGTTATTATTTGTTTATTGTTTTCCTTTGATGGGTATTTATGAAAATTTATTTTGAAAGCAATGCTGAAGGATTAATTGGTTTTGGTTGCAGAATCCAACCGAGAGGCCTGAAGGCAATAATGGGTCGGTTTTAGAAGGAATGAGTAAGAGCTTGCAATTGTGGAGAGATTCTGGTGAGTTTTGCCCTGAAGAAAGTGTGCCTATAAGAAGGACTACTGAAAATGATTTGTTGAGAGTAAGCGCATTAGGGAGGTTTGGGAGGAAGCCGACCAGAAGAGTAAGAAGAGATTCTTCTGGCACTGGCCATGAGGTTAGACGAAACGTTTTTTTTTTTTTTTTACATCGTTGTTTTTTTTTCACTTACAGAAATTAGTCTAGTAACATCTCTGGTTTTTGTGCCTATCAGAGAAAATATCACAACTCAAGATGTTAAATTTTCAGATACCGTAATAAGAGAAAAGATGCTTTTCCTGTTTTATTGCTCCAAAAAGGTGTTTGGTGGCTATTTCCGAAAATTCTATGACTATTTTGATGACAGAGAAACAGAGAGAAAGAGGTTTATTTTCATGACTATTTCCTATAAAAATGATGCTTACCGAAAAAATTAGATAAAGGCACACTTAATACCAAATTTACAACCATAAAATATTTATTGAGGGGGAAAATATGAATTTGTTTGTGTACTTTATAGTTCTTTTGGTAGATTTAATGAAATTGTTAATTGCACAATGTCAGGGAATACCATCTATACTAATTGTAATCCTCAACTTTGTCAATTATAACTCCGTTTGTAAAAGAAGGCTTGATCAGAGACCAAAAAGCAAAATTTTAAAATTTTAAATGTATGTGCAATTTTAGAAGGACAAATATGCTTAACAACCATATCTAAGGAGACAAGAACTTATATAGTACGTGTTGAAAAAAGTGTATTTAACTCAACTTACGTGTTAGTTGCAGTCTCAACTATATCTTATTCTTGTTAACCTAACCTAAGGATTTTAAGTCTACAGAAATTTTTTTGAAGTTGGCTCTACTAGAATGCTATAGCTTAACCTTAGTTAGAATCTTGTGGATCCTGGCATGCTTCAAATAAATTAAGCTAATTACATACTGTAATCCTGATTAGTTGGATATGTAAACTTGATTAATTGTAAATTTTATTAGTTGTGTACATTTTGGGTGCAGCATGCAGTTGGATATGTAAGTGGAGATAAGTACTACGGTGCAAAGGCTAGTCTAAATGTGTGGGCACCGAAGGTGACTGCTCCGTCTGAGTTCACTTTATCACAGATTTGGGTGATCTCAGGTCCCTTTAGCGCAGATCTCAACACCATTGAAGCTGGATGGCAAGTAAGAAAAAAGATAGAAACTATGTGTTTTCAGTTTATGTTTGCATAAATTGCATTTAGTTAAAAAAAAAAAATTTAAACATCAAACAAAATCGTTTTTGTTATTTCCTTGTGCTCACACCAGCGAAAGGCCTATCCGATCAGGTTTGAAATAAGTAGTATGTTCCATTTTATTGGGATGTCTTATAAAATCAAGTTTTCATAACAGGTTTTGTTTAAAGCATGTAGTTTGTTTCTCTTTTCCTTCTAACGAAGATAGAAGGCTAAATTGTACTCTTTTAGGTGGTATAACCGTGAAATTTTTCATAAAGTTCTAATTACAACTGCTGTTTTCTACAAATAGCGATATAGGAAACCAAACTAATGTATGTGACATCATTACTATGTCATCTTTACAGGTTAACTAATGTATGTGACATCATTACTATGTCATCTTTACAGGTTAACCCAGAATTATATGGTGATAGTCTTCCTAGGTTCTTCACTTATTGGACGGTAACTACAGAATCTCATTCTACTCATGATAAATTTATACAGTGTTCTCAATCTTATGATGATTAATTTTAGCAATTACACAGCTAATAATCCTTGCTTGCTGCTTGACTATTTTTATTCTTCTTAACATTAACGTATAATATGTACAATTTTGTGCAGAGTGATGCATATCAAGAGACTGGATGCTACAATCTCTTTTGCTCAGGATTTGTCCAAACAAACAATAAATTCGCAATTGGAGCTACTATCTCACCAAATTCAGAATATAATGGCAGACAATTTGATGTCACTCTCTTAATATGGAAGGTGATTTTTAGTTAAAAAATCTTAATGTACTATTACTTCTCTATAATCCTTGTGAATTTCTATATGAATTTCATCAAATGATCCAAAAATGAATATTCCAAGACATTGTCATATTCCTTTGTGAACAACATTCTCATAAAATTTACACACTTGCATAAATGAACATAATATGCACATTGTTAAAACACCGGTATTTTTTCTATAAAATTTTAGATTGTTCTGTGACATCATTTAGAATCAAATAGTAGATAAATTGACCTATAATGCCATCTACCGGTGAGCTTAATGTTTTACGGCCAGCAAGATGCTTTCTGCACGCTAAGAGGAAAATGCATAGCTCCAACAATGAAGGATTTGATGGTTCATTGATAGCGATGGGCTCTCAGCTCATGATCAAGAGGTTGAAGAATCATGCTGACATTACTCAGAGAAAAAAAGACATTACACCGGCCTTTCCCTCAGTGTGAGACTCACTTACCAGTTTTCCCTTTTAGGAACTCCATAAATATAAATGTCTGTTTAGATGAGAATAGCAGATATCACAAATCTATTTATGAAATATTCTTCGGGGTGATGGTAGTAGTGTTATTTGTTGTCAGGTTAGCAGTACTTGCGTCTAGATGATAATATCAGCACAAATTGGTTGTAGCTAAACACTTTTCCTAGATTAGAGTTTCCTTTGATAATGTGGGCATCGTTACATTTGCTATAATAATTTCTTGCTTAAGAAATGTGTGTGGAGAATGTAGAAATGATAGCTTGCTGATACAAATGGTTACTGCTAGATTACTCTTCTTAAACTTCTTCACTAGTATTATCGAGAAAGTTGTTACATTTTTCTTTTAGGATTTCTTTCTTAAAGAACGTGTAAATGATAGTTTTTGTCAAGCAGTTGGTTATTTGTAGATTACATTTCTTAAGACTAAATATGCCTTCGATAGTGATGTCAAGAAAACTTTTACATCTTCCTTATACAATTTTTGCTGAACGTACATATACTATATTGTAATATTTTAAGTGACTAAAATTACTTTTTGCTCCCTATAATTAGGATCCTAAGAATGGGCATTGGTGGCTAGAGTATGGATCAGGGCTAATCTTAGGCTACTGGCCTTCATTTCTGTTCAACCATTTAACAGAATATGCTAGCATGATTCAGTTTGGTGGGGAGATTGTGAACTCTAGACCTTCAGGAGTCCACACCTCCACTGAAATGGGCAGTGGTCATTTTGCAAATAAAGGTTTTCGTCGAGCAGCCTATTTTCGCAATTTGCAGGTTGTTGATTGGGACAATAACTTGATCCCCTTGTCGAATCTCCACCTCTTTGCTGATCATTCGAGTTGTTACGGCATAAAAGGAGGAGTAAATGAAGTTTGGGGGAATTATTTCTATTATGGAGGTCCTGGACGATGTATGAGATGTCCTTAAAAGCTTTAGAGATTTTTTTTTCTCAGATTTTATTTGAATTTTTTCTTTCTTTCTTCTTTTTGTTAGTAACAGGTGGTTTTGAGTATATTGTCCAACTTCCAGGCAGAATTATGTAAATCATGTCCAAGTTTAACGTAACATACCATGATTTTTGCCATATATTTCCTTCTTTTTTATTGATTTGTGAAGAAGAGTGCACGTATCTAGACTTTCATTCAAACCTAAAATGGGAGGATTTGTTGAACATAGAAGTAAAATGGTATAAACTCCAATGCATCAATTCTCATTTTGTTCTTTTTCCTTTTCGGAGAAAGTTCTCTGTTGTTAACGTACTTCAACATTGGAAATGTCAGAAGCACCCAGAAAAGAGCAGAAAGAAGAAGTTCATGCTGATAAGCTTCGAACCTCGTATCCAACGACGAACTCCGAACCTCGTTTCCAACGACCAGCTTTGAACCTCGTATCCAACAACGAACTCCGAACCTCGTCTCTAAAACAGGGATCCTCGCTGGGCGGCAAGGTTCGTCCCTATGACGACCCTCATCTTATTTTGAAGTTCGGCATTTTTTTAATGCCTACAGTCTTTTTATAATTTGGCCCATCATCAAATTATAAATACAATCTGGTATCTGCACATTTAGTTCATGATTCACTCATTAACCCAAATTGATTGATCACTTTAAGCGGGTTATCCTTAAGGATAACAATACACACTGATTAATGATATGTGCCCACAAATTAGATTTAATCAGATTTAAATCCAACATTTCATTCAAACCTAAAATGGGAGGATTTGTTGAACATAGAAGTAAAATGATATAAACTCCAATGCATCAATATTCTCATTTTGTTCTTTTTCCTTTTCGGAGAAAGTTTTCTGTTGTTAACGTACTTCAACATTGGCAATGTTAGAAGCACCCAGAAAAGAGCAGAAAGAAGAAGTTCATGCTGATAAATTTTAGGCAAGTGTGTGGATTAAGAACTATCAAATAGTCATGACTCTTCCTTGGAAATCCAAGCTGATAATTTGTTAATAAAATTTTTCTCCACCAAACTTGCTTGACCAATTTTCCTCGGTCACAAGAAACATGTGTACAAACAAAGAGAGTTTATATGCAGGCAATTCATCTCAGCTTCATTTTTACAAGGGACTTGCATTATAAGTAACGTTTCCATATACAACTAAAATAAGGAATTTACCAAAATCAACACAAGAGTGATAACCCTGAGCTAGCTACACTTTAAGATGTGGTTCTCATATCTCATGCAAATATAGTGCTATAGATTTGATTTGATTTTTAATAAAAGTTAATTAACTAAGGATTAAAATGCCCAGATAACTTCATTGCAGTATTAGTTGATGAATGTGCCTACACATCAATAGTAGTATATACATGAATAGGTTGCAGTCTCTAAGCTTATTTTATGGAGGTACATAAAATATAAATCAATAGTGTAGCTGTGTAGGAGAGGACTTTTGAGGTGATGTAAGTTCAAAATCTATACGAAATAACTGAAGCCTGAACTTGCTTGAACTCTAGGTCATGGTTGTCAACCCCGTGCATATTGAATAATCAATATCAAGGCATAGATAACATGCAAGTAAATTTTATGATATTTCTTAATCACCTTGGCCAACACTTGGAATCTAGACTGGTCCCGTAAAAGAGAAGAGCTTATTAGGGTTATTTAGAACTAATTTCATGTGTAATTCTATTTTTTTTAAGAACAATTTTTCAAAACAGCCCCATTTTATTTTTTTTTATTTTTAAAATCGACCATTTTTTTATTTATCAAAACCGACCCGTTTTTTGCCACGTCAGCCTAATCACTTTCCTAAACAGTCGGGGTTGTCAACCCCGACTATTTAGGAGGAAATTAACCCCCAATTAGAAGCCTTAAACCCTAAAAAATTATGTCCTAAATAGTCGGGGTTGGCAACCCCGACTGTTTAGGAAAGTGATTAGTCTGACGTGGTAAAAAACGGGTCGGTTTTGGTAAATAAATAAAAAAAGATCGATTTTAAAAATTAAAAAAAGAAATGGGATTGTTTTGAAAATTTGTTCTATCCAAGATTTGATATGGCGAAAAGAAATCTCTCTAATGATTTGGACCTAAGACCATCTCCAACGCGACGCTATTTTGCCGCAAAAAACGGATTTGCCGATGCTCCGGAGCTCCAACGCGGCGCCAATTCTCGCTGCATTTACGTCAGCCTAATCACTTTCCTAAACAGTCGGGGTTGTCAACCCCGACTATTTAGGAGGAAATTAACCCCCAATTAGAAGCCTTAAACCCTAAAAAATTATGTCCTAAATAGTCGGGGTTGGCAACCCCGACTGTTTAGGAAAGTGATTAGTCTGACGTGGCAAAAAACGGGCCGGTTTTGTAAATAAAAAAATGATCGATTTTAAAAATTAAAAAAAAGAAATAGGACTGTTTTGAAAAAATGTTCTTTTTTTAATTAGTTCATCACATCAAATAGGTTCATGTTAAAGGCCTGAGCCTTTAGGAAACTGATAAGATCCTTTACGCATTTGATTTCTAGACTTCCTTAAAAAAAGTTTCATATTCAAAATAATCTTTATATTCATTTACTAATAATAAATACAGATGCAGATATGATTTTGAAATTAAAATTCATAATTAATATCCAGTCAAAATAGAATACTTATCACAAAAACGATAAAGAAACTAGATAAAAATAAATTAATTAATAAATAAAGGGAGATGGTCTTCAAAGTCTTCAAAAGCTCGGCTACGTAGCACCGCAGAGAGCCCACTGGAAAAAGTCGGCCCGCTTTAAGAGAACCGTACGGCCCAGATATCTCCAACTGGATACTGACGGTTATGCCCTTGAGTAACGAAACCCGCGCTCTCTCGTCTCTCTTCCCTCCAATAATTATAGTTTAATCAACTACAATCGAGCTTCGAGCTTCTTCAATTTTTTTTCCTTTACAAGTGCGTCGAGATTACGAAAACCCTAATCTCAAGCGAGTCAACTCCTTTGTCCTTCTTCACAAAGCAAGCCACAAGCCAAGCTTTTGGATCCAAGTACGCTCCTTTTCTTCCCATTTCTCTTTTTTTTTTCCGTTTCGTGAAATTATCGTAGTAATTTTGGACTAGTAGACGAATTTGGGAGCTTTTATTGGCGTTGAGTGAGAATTTGAGCTGAAAGTTTGAATCTTTATTAGTCGTTATGTGAAAGTTTAGTCCTTTGGCGAGTTTCATCCATTTGCTTCAATTTCTCTTATATTTCCTTTTTCCTCTCTCTTTTTTTATCAGAAGAGGGGAAGTGGAGAAGAACAAAATGGGGAGATCTCGGCTCTCATGGATTAGATTCTCTCGAACCCTAGCTTGCCTTCAAATAGTGCTTGGGTTCTTCGTCATCCTCGCTAGCCTCGCTAGCCTCCACCGCTTCTACTCTACTGGCCTCCTTGACCCCTCCCATAATTTCCTAACCATTGAGCAAAGCTACGCAGATTTTGACCTCAAATCCCTTTCTGATCGCTTTGATGAGGTTTTAACCCGTCTCTCCGATCTCCAAGACAAGCTCGAATCCACCATAGATTCCATTAACAAGAACAAGAGTTACACTGGACAAATTGTACCCAAATCTGAATTCAAAAGGTTTCTCGAAGAAGAAGTAGTCCAACCTCTCTATTCTGCTCACATTGCCCTAAGGCTTATTCGAATCCCCCAACCCGACTCAAATTCTGAACCCGGATCGCCAATTGAGGACCCTTTGATAAATTTCTTCACAGTTGAAGAAACACGGAAGTATATAACCTCGAAAAGGAATAGGGATGGAAAGGTCAGTATTTATGGAAGTAATAAGACTTACAATACGATTGGCCATGCTTGTGTTCTAATGAGGAAGGAGCTTGAGCAGTATATGGATTATGATGTTGGATCCTATTGCAAGGATGATTGGAATTTGGCCCAAAAGCTAATATTGGGTGGGTGTGATCCACTGCCTAGAAGGAGATGTTTGACTCGAGCATCTAGAGTGTATCAAAAGCCACTTCCGATAAATGAATCTCTTTGGCAATTACCAGATGATAGAAATGTGCGGTGGAACAATTATCGGTGCAGGAACTTCAAATGTCTTGAGAGAAAGAATCCACAAAAGGGATTTACCATGGTGGAACAATTATCGGTGCAGGAACTTCAAATGTCTTGAGAGAAAGAATCCACAAAAGGGATTTACCAAGTGTTCAGGATGCTTTGAAATGTTAAATCAAATGTCTTGAGAGAAAGAATCCACAAAAGGGATTTACCAAGTGTTCAGGATGCTTTGAAATGTTAAAAGAGAAGGTAGTGATATTCGAAGTTTTTGACTTGCAGTCATTCAAATTAGAATAGAAACCCTAAATTTTATTCATGAGATAACATGGGCTTATATAGGCCCCTACAACTTACAAATAAGCCCCTAAACCTATTAATATTTCAACACTCCTCCTCAAGATGGGCGAAAGATATCCACTAAGCCCATCTTGTCACATCCTCTAATCATATCTACTGAGCTAAGTCCCTTAGTCAGACAATCTGTTGCCTGATCCTTAGTTGGAACATGACTTAACTCCAGTAGTCCATTGTCCAACTTCTCTTTGATGAAGAACCTATCGATCTCGATGTGTTTGGTTCTATCATGCTGCACTGGGTTGTATCATAGCCCTCCTGAATCTATCAAACCAAGCACGAGGAGACTGCTTTAGCCCATAGAGGGACTTCTTCAATCTGCAGACCTTTCCCACTGTCTGATCTGTACCAAATCCTGGTGGTATCTCCATGTATACCTCCTCCACTAGATCTCCATGAAGAAATGCATTCTTCACATCTAGTTGGTGTAGCTTCCATCCACCATTTACTGCCAGAGAGATTAAGGTCCGAACAGTGCTCATCTTCGCCACCGGTGCAAAAGTCTCATCATAATCGATGCCATATGTCTGACTATACCCTTTTGCCACCAGGCGAGCTTTGTAGCGCTCAACATGTCCATCTGGATTCTGTTTCACAGTGAAGACCCACTTGCATCCAACTGCTTTCTTCCCTTTTGGTAGTTTTACTAGCTCCCAAGTGCGGTTCTTCTCTAGAGCTCCTAGCTCCTCGTGCATAGCCGCTTTCCACTTTGGGTCCTTCTTAGCAACCTGCCAATTGTTAGGTACAGTAACAGAGTCCAATGATGCAATGAATGCCCCATGTCGTACTGATATTGGTGTGGGAGGAGTAGGGAGAGGAATGTTATCAGTAGGAATGTTATCACCTTGGGATGAAATTGGTGGTGGTGTAGGTATTTCAGGAGTCGGGGTGGGCTTTGGCAAGGGACTTGACAGCACTAGTGGCACTGTAGGTACTGTTCCTGCAATTTGCTTGCCTTTCCTACTATAAGTTAGTAGCTCTCCCTGAACAGTGGGCCTAACACCTCTTGTCTCATTTTCCTTTTCTTCGTCATTCTCCTGCTCCTCCTCAACCAATTCTCCCTCCCAAGGAATCGATACAGAAATGGATTTCTCCACATTGTTCACTGTTCTCTCACCATTCTCCTCCTCTCGCCTCATACTTCTAGTATTGGGCGAGTTATCAACGGATGAGGTTACCTTCTGGGTGTAATATGGCTCGAGTTCTCGAAAGTGCACATCCATGAATCCCGGAATCCCGGAAAAGAAAGTGGATGTAACCTGGCTCTGATACCATTTGTAACGCCCCGCCCCGGAATCCCGGAGTCGGTACGCTACTAGATCTGATGGACTGGCCTCACAAACCACCACATGTCTTTTCAGCACGTTTTGTCCTCACTCACGCGCTCCCTGGAAAACTTCCCAGGGGGTCACCCATCCTAGAATTTCTCCAGGCCAAGCACGCTTAACTTTGGAGTTTCTAAGGGTTGGGTTCCCGAAAAGAAGATGCATCTTGGTGGTATGAGTATTCCAATCAAATCTATCAATACTAATCACATCACCCTCTCAAGGGTTGGGGTATTACAAACTCCCCCACTTAAACTCACAACGTCCTCGTTGTGCCAAACCATATCATCCAAGACCGTACCATCCGTGTGAGATTCTAGAGGTGGCTCCTACGGCCTCAAGAGGTGGCTCCCGCCCCCTCGACGTAGCACTTTGCACCGCATAGCACTTAGCTCTCACAATTCCGGTTGGCTTGGCTCTGATACCAAATTAGAATAGAAACCCTAAATTTTATTCATGAGATAACATGGGCTTATATAGGCCCCTACAACTTACAAATAAGCCCCCTAAACCTATTAATATTTCAACAATTCATTTAGGATAATTTCAGCCACAGTTCATTTGATTTTTTTTTGTGCATGTTTTTTATTGAATTATTTGGTGACTGTTGCCATATGTTTGCATATTTTGCATCTATATGCTACAAAACATTCTTAAGTGTTACATTTTTGGACAGTCATGACCGCAAAACCACATGCATTCAGTTTCTTGATATATAGTTACATGCATGCAGTTTCTTGATGTATAGTTCTTTGTAACAACTACTCCTTTATGTACAAGATTGAGCAGCTGTAATTTGATAAGTTCATTTATAATTTTCTTGATGTTCTGGATACTAGATGCTTCTTGCTTTCTTTTAACTAAGAAAGGTGTATAAAAATGTTATGCTACCAATATGACTCTGAACACTAATTGTGCACCTTTTCTCAACAGTAAAAAGAGACTATAAAAACATTGTTCTTTGGAGGATTGACTTGGCTTAGTAGCATCTAAAAGATTGCCTTTTGTAGAAAAGATTTACTGATTGTAGATTATTATGTTGCTTGGTTAAAAAATTTATAGTATTTGCTCCATATGCTCATTGGTGTCTTTTGACATCAAAATCACCAATATGTAGTCTTACACTGAAAAGAAAAAAAATGCATATCCTCAGGAGGGTTAAAATTTTGCTTGTCACTTGTAGGTGTTACTATTTGATAGTTTATACTTGTATTAACTATGTTGCATTGCTGAGCTATTTAGTAGCTTATATATGAATCGTCAAGCTGCAAAGCATGGAGATAGGTCGATCCTAGTATTAAATCTGTCATATGAGTTTATGTTTACTCTGTAGAAAATTTGTTTTTATGACAGTTTGGTAGTACTAGATGTTCATAGGCCAAATTAATTAGCGAGAGCAATTTATCTGTCCATTAATTTATTGTTCTTGTTATATCTTTTGGCGCACCATTTCATTTCTTGACCTTTTGCTAACATTTGCTTTGTATTTATGTGACATCAAAATATTCATGATTCTTGTCTTCATCTTTATTTAATGTTTCCTAACAGGTAAAATGGGTCACAAACTCATCGCTAGCTGATTTCCTCATTGCCGATGTGCTCTCTGTGAAGCCTGGAGAGATCAGGATAGGAGTTGATGTCAGCATAGGGACAGGGAGCTTTGCAGCTAGGATGAGGGAGTGGAATGTCACCATTATATCAACAGCACTTAATATTGGAGCTCCTTTCAGCGAGACAATTGCATTAAGGGGCTTAATTCCTTTGTATGTGTCACTAAGCCAGAGGTTACCATTCTTTGACAACACAATGGATTTGATCCACACGACTGTATTCTTTGATGGATGGGTAGACTTGCAGCTGTTGGATTTTGTCCTATTTGATTGGGACCGGGTGCTGAGACCAGGAGGATTACTTTGGATTGATAGGTTCTTTTGTAGTAGGAAGGATTTGGATGATTACATGTATATGTTCTTGCAATTTAGATACAGAAAGCACAAGTGGGTGGTGACATTCAAATCCAAGGAGGAGGTATATCTCTCTGCTTTGTTGGAGAAACCACCAAGGTCGCTGTAAATGGGTATGTTCTTTTTCTTCATTGGAATTTTATACATATATGAGATGAGATATTGGCATCCCTGTAATTTTGTGTTCTTGACTTTTAACACTTCAATTAGTTCTCATGCTACGTCAATAAAAGGCATTGGCTTTTTACCTGTCCATCTCATTGTTTCAAGTTGATATGGTTCTTCTCTATTAGTTTCCTTTCTTCTACAACTATTTTTTTGGTGATGATTCTTTGTGCACATGTGACATTTTTGCAGCTTGAGATCTTCATATTGCTCGACTATGTGCTTGTGTAAGACTATCTTGTGCTCGAATGCATGGCTACTCTTGAGAAAATCTCCTTGATGGTGGAAAAAGAACCATATCCTTGAAATAGATTTGTATTGAATTTTCTTTAAACCTTTAATACTTATTATTTCCTGTAAGGTCAAGGAGGGTGAGTGCTTCTGTATCTTGTCTGGATTCCTTCTTTAGTTAAAGCTGTTGTATACATATCAATTCAGTGTATCCAAGCAATCAAATGGAATCACACCATGATTTCCTCCGGTGTATTACCTTTGAGTTTCTATAATTTTTGGAGACTCTACGTCGTTAATCCGTTCTTTCTATTTCCTTGAGATATATGACATCTTGTAAGTAATGTATCCGTTGTGTTATCTTGTAACACGGGGCAGTCAGTTGCTTTCCTCTCTTGTGCTAATCCTCATGCTCCCCCCTTTGAAGACACAATTCATCACACGCATCTCCCCTTGTTAGCGGCATCTCTCATGCCTGTCTTGCAGAACCATTTGAATCTTTCTTCTTAGTCTTACTGTTCTGAGTATGGATCCGCATGTTGATTCCTGTATGTAGGCTTGGCTGAAACTCAAATATTAATTCTGGAAATTTCTGGAAGGTTAGTATTAGGGCTATGATCCGTGATGATTTAGAAAAGTAATTCTGCGGTGTATACTAAGCAGTGAATGATGAATCCAAATGCCTTAGTGTCTGAGGCTGTGGAGTTTAAGAAACCTGAATCCTTTTGTTTCATTCCTGAGAAATTTATTGTCATATTTCAGAGTTTCTGATTGAGAGCATGGAAATATGTTTGTTTCACTCTCTTTCTAATTCTTGATTATTGCAATTTGCAAGTAGTTTGTGTTTAAAGTCGTCTCAATTTCCTGAAAGATGAAGTTTCTACAAAGTGCGTATGTCCCCATGAAACTACTGAAGTTTGTCATGTACTCATGTTATTTTAGCCTAAGGTGGCTAATTTATCGGCCCCTGAAATTAATGACTATTTTGCTCAGAAGGATGAACCAATTCAACTATGGTGAAACACTAGTGAACTGCATCCGTCACTGATTCTTGGTTCTCTGGAATGGAGCTTCAGCAGCAAAAATGCAGCATTTATGTACTCGCGATGGCCGCAGCAGATGCTGCGAATGTTTGGAAGTAAAATGGATTTGACGCGGTTTATTGTAAAAAGGATTCGACACAGCTTCCTTACAGGAAGTGCTGCATGCAGATTGCTTACAATAAATGTTGCATTTTCACTTGCAGTGAATTAAACAGTTTTCTGAAAGAATATAATTCATTGGAGCTGCATGTTGGGCTCTCTTTATAGATTGAAACAAAATGAAACGGAACCAAACAGACACTTGTTTGACGAAGCTACCAGTTTCTTGTCTAGGTTTGAGCCCAGTCTAATCTCACTGCAGTTAAGTTTCATCTATATAGATATAGAATACACATGAAGGTTGTATAAATATTTTGTTGGATAGCAGTATTCCTAATCTATTTTGGTAACATGAAGTTATTAGGATTCCTAATCTATTTTGGTAACACGAGGGTATTAGGATTCCTAATCTATTTTGATAACATGAGGTTATTAGGATTCCTAATTTGTTTTGTTTTTGGTTTTAGGATTTCTAGTCTGTTTTGGTTTTAGTTTTTCTATATATATGGAGATTAGAATTAATCATCAAAAATGGAGGAGAGTTGTAATCAAAGATTAGAGAGACTTTTGAGCATTGTGAGAGGGAGATATTGTGAGCAAGTTGAGAGCTTTGGTTGAGGGTTAGTTTGTGAGTTTTGTGAGATTGTAACCCTTTGTACTCTCCTTGATTTAGTGGAATCTCCTCATCCTCTCCCCGTGGACATAAGCAATTTGCTGAACCACGTAAAATTGGTTATCTCGCTATTTGTATGATTTGTAATAGCTTATTTAGGTTTCCTCGACAAGTCAGTCCTAGAACTGATGAGAGGAAGAGCTGATATCTCACTTGGTTGAGATATTTTGTTTAAGGTTCTTGTTTCCTTTGTAAAACGAGAATTCCTATTGCGATCTGACTCTCTTGTTGTGTTATCAATGTGCTGTCGAAATTTTTGCTGCGTGCAACAAGTGGTATCAGAGCCCAGATTTTAAATCTAGGGTTTTGGAATTAGGTGGAGGAAGATTCTTGTGTGGAGCTTAGTTATTGGAGTTCTAGGTTTCGATGGAGATAGCATTAGGAGTTGCCGTTGGAGATTTCGCTTTCTTCGTGTGGACATGAGATCTATTTGGAATCCGATCTAGGGTTCAGTTGGATAATTCTTAATTTTTATCAAAGTTTGATTCTTTCTATAACTTGGAGTTAGTTTACAATGGGAGAAGAAGGTGAAAGCAACAAGTCGATGGCGAGTACAGTTCAAGTTAGTTTTCAGAACACCAAAATTAGTGTGGTGAAGTATGACGGTAAAATTAACTTTGGTTTGTGGATGAGCGACGTACAGGATACGCTCAATGCTCAGAACTTGGAGGAGACCATCATGGTCCACGAAAGACCATCAAAATATAAAGAGGCGATATGGGAAAAGATGAATAGGAACGCTTGTGGGGTGATCAGGTCATGTTTGGAACAGGAGCTGAAGTATGATGTGATTGGGATGACATCTGCGATGAAGATATGGAAAATTCTCAACAATAAGTACCTTACGAAGAGTGTTGAGAACAGATTGCATTTACTGCGTAGGTTATTCAGATTCCAGATGTCCAGAGGCACCTCACTTGCGGCTCATGTGAACAACTATACTAAGTTGTTGTCGGACTTGGCGAATATTAATGAGAAGATATCGGATGAGTACAAGGTTATTATCTTATTGGGCTCCTTACCGGATGAGGAGTATGACACCTTTGTGCTCATTTTGTTGAACGGAAGATCTTCTATCAGCTATAGTGAAGTTACTAATGCATTGACGAATTATGACTTGAGGAGGAAGGACAAGGAGATTTCTTATACTAGTACTTCAGGCGAGGCCTTGTCGATGAGAGGTAGAAGCTCATATCCGAAAGGTAGTAATAGAGAAATGTCAAAGTCAAGAGGTCGTCACCAGCTTGGAAAGAACCAATGTGCATTCTGCAAGGAGCAGGGATATTGGAAAAGAGATTGTCCAAAGATCAAAGAGAAGGAGAATAGCAAGAAAAAGGGCCCGAAGGCCAATGAGGTGAATATTGCGAAAGGCGATGATTTCGATGATTCGAGATTTTCTCTACTGATTACTCCGAAGATGAACCACTTGATTGCATCAGATTGGATGTTTGATTTCGATGTTACCTATCATGTGATTCCTAGGCAAGATTGATTTGCATCTTTTGAGAAGCTCGATGGGGGAGTTGTAGTCATGGGAAATGATCAGTCCTGATGCATTTGTGGGATAGGTACTGTACGGATCCGGATGCATGATTGAGTAGTTTGTGAATTGAAGGAGGTGAGATTTTTTCCTCAGCTAAAGAAGAATCTTATCTCAGTTAATGATTTGGAGGCGAAAGGGTTCAAGGTGACCTTTGAAGACGATGTAGCGAAGGTTACTAAGGGATCTTTGGTGGT